TGTCATGTCATTTTTATATATTTATTCTATTATATCATGTTATATTTTATTTTATAATATTGTATTCTTTTGCTTTTATAATTTTATTATATATTATATTATATTATTTATATTACATATTGTATTAATACATATAATTATATTATAGTTTCATTATATAGTATATAATATATATTGTAATAAAATATTATATATATTATCATATATTATTGTATTGTATTGCATTATATAGCATAGTTTTAGTTTTTTATTTTATATTATATTTTATAATTGTATTATGTTAAAGATTATATGTTTCTTTTGTGTATTATAATATATTTTTATTATTATTATTTTTTATTATTATATTAATACATATTATTATATTATAATAGTTTCATTATATAGTATCACTATATTATATATAATACAATATATATTAAAATAAAATATTATATATATTATCATATATATTGCATTATATAGTAGTTTTAGTTTTTTATTTTATATTTTATAATTTTATTATATTATAGATTATATGTTTCTTTTATATATTATATTATACTTTTATTTTTATTATTCTTTATTATATTACATTTTATATTAATACATAGTATTATATTATATAGTTTCATTATATAGTATCACTATATTATATATAATATAATATATATAAAAATAAAATATTATATATATATTATATTATTTTGCATTATATAGTATAGTTTTAGATTTTTATTTTATATGTGTATAAATTGTGTTATAGTACATATTATATGTTTATTTTAATTATTATATTGCATATTTTATCATGTTATATGGTATATTATGATATTTTTATCATATTTTATTATATATCATATATTATATTATATTGAATCATAGTATCATTACATCATTAATATTTTATATTATTATATTTTATTATGCTATTATATGTTTATTTTAATTATTGTTTTATTATGATATTAGTATATTTTATTACTATATTAGTATGTTTATTATTTTATTATATATAATATTATAATATTATATTTTATTATTATATTCATTATTTTCTGTTATATTTCTATTTTATTATATCACATTATATGTTTATTTGATTATTATTTTCTTATTATTATATTGTATATTTTATTACTATATTAGTATATTTATTATTTTATTATATAGAATAATTATAATATTATATTTTACTATTATATTTATTATTTTCTGTTATATTTCTATTTTATTATATCATATATTATATGTTTATTTGATTTTTATCATATCGTATATTATATTATATTGAATCATAGTATCATAACATCATTATTATTTTATATTATTATATTTTATTATGCTATTATATGTTTATTTTAATTATTGTTTTATTATTATATTAGTATATTTTATTACTATATTAGTATATTTCATTATTATATTTTATAGAATAATTTTAATATTATTATATTCTATTATGCTATTATATCTTTATTTTAATTATTTATTTATTATTATATTAGTATATTTTATTACTATATTAGTATATTTTACTATTATTTTATTATATGGAATAATTATAATATTATATTTTACTATTATATCATTATTATATTTATTATTTTCTGTTATATTTTCTATTTTATTATATCAGTTTATTTGATTATTATTTTCTTGTTATATTGTATATTATATTAATATATTATTTTGTTATTATAGTAATTTAAAGGTATTAAGTGTAGTTGTGTCCGACTCCATAATATAATAATATATTATAATATATTAATATTATATAATATATTATTTTTATTATTTTATTATATTGTAATAATAATAATAATAATAATAATAATAATACTGGTCGTAATGATAGTAGTAAGCCGTAATATAATAATATATTTATATATTATATATTATATATTATATATTATTTATATTATTTTATTATATTGTAATAATAATAATAATAATAATAATAATACTGGTCGTAATGATAGTAGTAAGCCGTAATATAATAATATATTATATTAATATATTATATATTATATATTATTTATATTATTTTATTATATTGTAATAATAATAATAATAATAATAATAATACTGGTCGTAATGATAGTAGTAAGCCGTAATATAATAATATATTATAATATATTAATATTATATAATATATTATTTTTATTATTTTATTATATTGTAATAATAATAATAATAATAATAATAATAATAATAATACTGGTCGTAATGATAGTAGTAAGCCGTAATATAATAATATATTATATATATTAATATATTATATATTATATATTATTTATATTATTTTATTATATTGTAATAATAATAATAATAATACTGGTCGTAATGATAGTAGTAAGCCGTAATATAATAATATATTATAATATATTAATATTATATATTATATATTATTTATATTATTTTATTATATTGTAATAATAATAATAATAATACTGGTCGTAATGATAGTAGTAAGCCGTAATATAATAATATATTATAATATATTAATATATTATATATTATATATTATTTATATTATTTTATTATATTGTAATAATAATAATAATAATAATAATAATAATAATAATAATAATAGTAAGTCTTTCTTTGTATTCCACTCTTTGGGTCTAAAGGGCTTCTTGCTTCGTGGAAAACAAAGTCCCATTGACCTTAATGGGGGAGAGAAGTCTGTCTGTCAATCAAGGAGTTGAGTCCGGAAAGGAGTGGAGGCAGATGGGAGTTGTAGTCCCCCAAACGGAAGCACTTCCTGACAGTCTGTTGACATTTTCCAGCCGTGACTCAATGGATGTGGGTCCAGTTTGTTGCACTTTGCCCCCCTTTGCCCCATAATTAAAACCTGGGATTCGTTAGATGAAGATAATTAATAGTTGAGCTTTATAAACGAACCCTGAGATGAAAGGCACCAGAAAACCTGTGAGCCAATGCTGTGACGCTGCAGCAACCAAGGCCAATGCGATCCCTGAGTTCTGAATGCTCCAGTTCGAAAGGGATATATATATGTATGTATGTATGTATATGTATATGTATGTATGGGGAAGGTTTTTGCAAACTCGTGAGCCAATGCTGTGACGCTGCAGCAACCAAGGCCAATGCGATCCCTGAGTTCAGAGTGCTCCCAATTTGAAAGAGAGAGAGAGAGAGATATATGTGTATATACACACACGCACACATACATACATACACACACACAAATACATACTAGCTGTCCCCTGTCATGCGTTGCTATGGCCCAGTCTGTGTATATGTGTTTTGTGTGTGTATATATATGTGTGTGTATTTCTGTTTATATGCGTATATGTAT